ACGTACGGCGCCCCCTTACAGAGAAATGGGAGGGTGGTGTGCGCATCTGTTGTTGTTAGAGCAGCAGGGTGTCAGAATCCTGGTCTGGGATCAATTTTGTTCTGCCTCCTCTAATGCAGTGATTCCCAGTCCTGATCCTGGAGATTCCCTGTCCTGCTTATTTTGGTGTTTTCCCTTTTATTAATATATCTGGTCCAACCACATGGTCCACCCACAAAGGCATTGTTTTGTAGCTTTGAGCACAAGCAGAAAGCCTATTCAACCTACTGAGAGATCATGGCGCAGATTCATGTTTTGTACGCATGTGAAGGGTCACTCGGCTTCCATAGATCAGGCGTAGGTTTTTTGTCATGTAGTCTACGTTTTTTGGAATAAACGTTTGGTATGCTAAGCAGAAAATTACTGACATCAGCTGTTTTAATGTTGCTTCAGGCAACTACGGGCCTCACGATACAATATTATGATACAAGTCGCGTTACAATTTGCTGTTGTACGTCAAAATTTGTGATATGCTTGGTATTGCAATGTGACATATATTGCAGTTCTTAACTTCTGACTGCAAGCTGTTGCCCAGAAAGCAAACTCTGTTTTATCACATGAAGTTTTAAGTCTTTTTTATTCGAGCAGAACAGAATTGTGAAGCAAACTATTTTTAGGGCTGGGACGATAAACAAGTTAATACCATGGGATTTTACATGTTCAGTGTATGTGGGACAGTTTCCCTTTGTGCCAGAGGAGGGAATGAATACCAAGACCCTTTCACACAGAGTTCTACAGACAGTGGTTATGTGTATGTGCCTGTGTGTATTGATACTATACTATATGACCAAAAGTGCATGGAAAGGCTTCTGGGAAAGCTTTCCATACTGCCATGTAGTGCCAGATTTATCACTCCACAGTGGTGGCATGCTTCACACCACTCCAGCTGACACTTGGCATTGTGCATAGCGATCTTAGGCTTGTGTGTAGCCGCTCGGCCATGTGAACCTCTCAATGCACAGTTTTTGTGCTGATGTTGCTTCCAGAGGCAGTTTGGAACTCTGTAGTGATGCAGCAGAGGATAGTCGATTTTTACACTCTACATGCTTCAGCACTTGGCGACTCCACTGCGGGTTTGCATGGTCTGCTGCTTCATGTCTGAGCTGTTGTTGCTCCTAGACGCTTCCACTTAGGAGCACACTTGTTAGCAGCGGGTGTGGCTGAAACACCTGAACTCAACAATTAGGAGAAGCGTCCACATACTTTTGGTCATATAGTGAATTTTAAAAAACAGGAATATGTTGCAATATTAAACTGTTTTACATTAAAAAATATTAAAATATCAAACTTTGAGTTGCAGAGCCTGGTTGTGGACTAGAGGTGTCCACTCCCATGGGATTCCTGTGGGACCCGAGAGACCCACCACAATATCTTGCGGCACAGGACTAATTTTCAGTGTTGTGTGCGGGAGTGGGCGGGGAACCACGCATAAGGAGAAATCCCTGGAAATGAATGAATAGCCTAAATAAAGTAGAAAGATCACTAAATAATTTAGGTGAAATATATAATGAGAACAGTAAAACAGATAAAATGAATGAAATCTTTCTAAAGAGTTGCGAAGCAACTGATCAAGTGAAAAACATGCAAATTGTCGTTGCTTACAGAGACAGTGGAGCCTTCAGTCTGACATCCACAGCTTTGCCCAGCACAACACCAAAAATAACAGGCAGGAGCGGGACAAAAGATTCTGTTTTTCTGCGGGAGCAGGATGAAATCCTGCAGGAGTGGGCGGTAGCAGGACGAAATCCTGCAGGAGTGGGCGGTAGCAGGACTAGTCTCGTGCAGACCTCCATTGTGGACTACCACTAACTGTAGGAGGAGGACCTTCTTTCAGGGAGCTGATGTTGGTGTGAAAGGTTCGCTAGTTGCTGTTGATATCCAACACCAGAAACAGGGCCTACTTGACTGTATGTTGGGTCATGCAGTGTTGCAAGCCCTTGTTTCTGTTGTAGCCAGAGTAAAATGAGAATTGCTCAAATGCTGTAAGGAAAATTGCGATGTCCTCCAGAGCGCCTGCAGAGTTGCTTACTCAGCCAAAAATGTTGTGATACAACTCCCATAAGTCATTCATGTTACCTTTTGTCTAGATCGGTGTTTTTCGTCTCTCTCTACTGGATTGTGTCTTTTTATGCTTCTACATTCAGCTGGAAGTGATTTGGATGTAGCTGTGATGCTATTCAGAGTTAAACATCATGAAGCATAATATATTGTAGAAGACTCATACAGTGTAAACATTCACAGCTGGGCTGTATAAGAGGACACAATTACTGAGACTGTAAATCTTTTTGACATTTGTTGCACATGAGGCTGAAATTACAACCAAGAAATAGTAAACGGTCCAGCAGTGCTGCAGTGCAGTTCAACGCCACATCCCTGTGCTGAATGAAATGTGCCTCCTCTGCTGTAAAATACAGGGAGCAGTGTACTGTATAGATTGCCATGGAGGAGGTAGTAGTAGTGGGTGATACGGGTTCATCTGATATACTGGATGAAATTCTTCTCAAGGCATGACTTTGTCATCACTGCTATACTAGTATGACCCAAATAAATGCAGATAATGTATATATATATATAATATATCATATATATATATATATATATATATACATCGATCAGGCATAATTATCATTACGCTGTTCTTCAGTGGTCAGGACCCCCATGGACCCTCACAGAGCAGGTACTATTTGGGTGGTGGATGATTCTCAGCACTGCAATAACACTGATGCATAAACGGCTTATAATTGCCAAATTCCAGCAAAGTCTGAAGGCCATATATGACAGTTCGAGTGTGAGGCTGGCGTTACATGGTTAAAACTTTCATGCACCTAGTTATATGTTGTGAGTTGCTAACAAAATAATTTCTCTGCAAACTGATAATAACACAAAATAGATCAAAAACAAAGTTGCATGCAACACATTCATTTACTCAAATTAGCAGCTCGTATTTTTTTATACACTATCGATCTCACTGTAAAGTCAGCTGTGAGCTGTGATTTACATATTTGCAACATTTTTATCATCTTTGATTTTTCCACTTTTCAAACATCATACAATATTCTGTATGACTTATATTCTAGTTATAATATATAATACTGTAATAAATTACAGTTGTGTGTGTGTGTTAGCAGGCAGCCGGTTAAGCATCTGTTAGCATTAGCTGGCTAACCCAGCCACAACAGCTGCAAGTGTCTCAACTTAATGGAACAAATTTCATGAAACAGCCAATCAAAATGGTGGCATCATTATGTGATGAGTACATGTTTTTCAGTACTCGCCAAGCCCAGTACCATACTGAATTACATGCTTTGAATGAAGTAGTTGTTGGTGTAAAGGAGTGCAATGTACCTTAACATGTAAATCGTAAAATCTAGCTTTACATTAAATTGTTCAAATCTAAGTTTTATTGAACACTTCTATAACCTAAGAATAGCTCACCTGTTGAAGTCCCTGTAGTTACTGAATAACAAACCTTAGTATTTAATAATCCTTTGATCTTAAGTGGTTAAATAACATGCATTAGCTAGCTATGCTACATTAATTACCTTTGATCGAGTGCTGTTGCTGTACAGAAGAGAGAAAAGCACCTCTACAGCTGTAAGTAAAGTATCTTTCATAGTTTTGATCCTTGCTCCTCGTCGGCCTCTTGCAACAACAGTCTCTGCTGCACATTGACAGCAGTAATCATATCTGAGGCTGATGCATCCAAGGAGCTCACGTTTCATGTTGTTTAAGTCTTTTTGGCTGGTTGAGCTGTAGTCAGACATACATTGTGCGATTTTAGAAATATTGTTCTTTAGCGACTCACACTGTAGAGAAGCAGTCGTTTCATCCTATGTGAAGCGCAGCCTCTTCAGACATCTCTGTCTACTGACAATTTCAAATAAAGCTGTTTCACTCAAAATAACATGCCTGAGTACTGCGTAAACACGCAGAGAAACTGAGCTACAGCAGCTAAACAGCTAAAAGAAGGGGATATACATGGTAGGACAGTATGGTCTTAATGTTTATACTTCCATTCAGTCAAACAGAGTAAAACTAAAGCATAGACAGACTTTGGTAGCAATTGTTGACTTTTTCACCTCTGTTTTGATAGTCTACATGTGTCCACCCATATTGGGGAAGTGGTTGTGATTGTGGGTTTAAAATGGGCTAAAATAGCTTGAGTCATTTGTTCATCAGTGTGACAGTGTACAGTTGACTTATGTCGCATAGTACCAGCTGGTATCAGATGTTAATATCAGTGCCTTTTTATGAGGCTGAGTACATGTAAATGTATCAGTATCAATGCATCTGTAATTTCACCGAATACAAAATATTTTGTATCTGTATCTGTTGTATCTGTATATTTATATCTGTTAAATACAGGAAAAAACATGCTTTACTTTTAGTGTAAGTCAATGGAACCAGACTTTTTTCCAAGTAATTCTGGGCCATTTCTTGTGGTCCACTCATCTTGAAATGTACACACAATATAAAGGACAACAACTATTTTCAAACTATGTCAAAAACTGAAAAATGACAAAAATGCAGATACAAGGTTTTGGTCCGACAACAGCAATATACATTATTGAAAAAATACACTATACTGTGTATTGTATACTGCATTCCTGGTGATTATATACTGAAATCACCAGGAATCTTAATTGTACCATGATATACATTTTCTGCTATTATGAACTATTGAGCAAGAAGCTCTGTGAAATAGTGCTAATGTGTGTTTTTGGGTGTCCATGTTGGTGTGCAGAGTGAAGAAACTGGATCAACTTTAGGCAAAAGGAAGGAACTGAATGCCTCCCCATTCAGACTCTTCTGCATTATTGAAAATGCACAGAAACTCCGGATGCTGCAGTGAAAACACAGCAGATTGCTTTAGTGAGGGAAACACAGCTTCCCTCTCACTCCATTGTGTCCCTTAAAGATGTTTCTCACACTCTCTTTCTCTCTCTCTCTTTCTCTGGCAGGATGTCTGAGGCGTTGTCACAGCAGGAGAGGCTCCAGGCTATAGCAGTAAGTCAGACGTTCATGCCACATGTTCTCTCGGACCCCCAGAATGCACCCTCCTCGCCAAATCACAGAGTTTGAATAAAAATCAGATTTACACAATTTTCCACTTGAACGGAGTTGTTCAGCCAAGACATCTCCTAAATTTTGCTTCTTTAATTTTGGGGTGGAGCTACAAGGCTAATGTAACTGGCAAGCGATAGAAGCTTAAACCCCACCAATTAGTATCATGCAAACTGAATACCTAAATCATCACATGCTCGCCTCAAACAATCTTGGTGTTAAGTCATCTAAGAGCTGCTTCTGTAATTTTTCAGGGAAGGCCTGATGGTTTCTGTCTGAAAGTTTTACTTTATTCCTATCCAATCAGATTTTTTTCTCTGTGGTATTTGAGTAGATACATCTAATCATGGTCTCTCATTGGTGAGGGCTTCAGGAGCTGAAACTGAAGGTCTAATGTGTCAGATTAAGTAGTAATATAATGTGGAACTGACAACCAATCACGTTTTGACTTACAGTGAGTTGGAACAACTGAGAAAATAAATTGAATTAAAACATGAAAACATTAAATGTCTTTTACAGGCTTTACATGTTTAATCCAGAGTGACCAAAAAGGGTTGAAATGTGAACTGCTGTTATCTTTGCGCTAACACAGTATTAAAATCTCAAAGGAGTGCTAGAAGAAATTAGCATTATCCTGTATTTTTTCTTGTTTTTGTGTTTATGGGCTGAACTGAAGGCCTAGTGGTAATTGTCACAGTTCAGCACTGATAAAAATGGACAGAACACAGAAATAATTCAGGTTTCAGGTCTGTTACTACTTTTTAACCCTCACAGAAAAGTCACATATATGTTTGGGATAATGGGGAAAACTTTGTAAATTTGGTTTTTCAACTGTTTTTAATGCTTTAAATTTTGCTCTAAAATGAATTAATGGTCCCTCTTTATTAATTTAATTTCATTTGTCATCAGGAGTGCTTTAAACTGATGTTTGTGCCCAGGCCTCTTTTAGGCCTAACAGCAAGTAAACAGTAGCGTGTATAAAGTCACGTCTACACATCCACATCCTTCTCCCTGGTGCCAGAGGGGGGACTCCTGCTCCTTTATGTGATGTTTTTCTCAGCACCACCCAATACTGTGTATACACACAGCCCCCAACCCCGTCCTCACTCTGCCTTCCTCACACTCTGCTCCCTGCAGGAAGGAACCCAAAGGACATAATGCACCCAAGCAGTATTGATCTGGCTATCGCGAAGGTGCATGTGCAAAAAAAAAAATAAAGAAATAAACATACAGATTCTTCCTATTTGAAGTCCAATGACAGACAGCCAAGAATTTGGAGGTTATAAATGCAGATTTACATATAAAAATGCAAATGTTAAGTTGACATCTACACTACTTGGAAAAAAGTATTGGGATACCTACACATTACACCTGCAGGAGCTTTTATGACATCCCATTCTAAATCTGTAGGCATTAATATGGAGTTTGTCCCCCTTTTTCAGCTATAACAGCTTCCACTGTTCTGGGAAGCTTTCTACAAGATTTTGGAGACTGTCTTTGGGAATTTTTGCCCATTCATCCAGAAGAGTATTTGTGAGGTCAGACACTGATGTTGGATGAGAGGGCCTGACTCGCAATCTCCGTTCTAGTTCATCTCAAAGGTGTTTGATGGGGTTGAGGTCAGGACTCTGTGCAGGCCTTTCAAGTTCTTCCACACCAGACTCACCCAGTCATGCCTTTATGGACCTTGCTTTGTGCACTGGGGCTCAGTCATGCTGGAACAGTAAAGGTTCTTCCCCAAACTATTCCCACACAGTTGAAAGCATAGAATCGTCCAAAATGTCTTGGTCTGCAGAAGTATTAAGATTTCCCTTCACTGGAACTGAGGGGCCTATAGGCCAACCCCTGAAAACCAACCCCATATCATTATCCCTCCACCAAACTTTACAGTTGGCACAATACAGTCATGCAGGTAACTCCTCTTTCTGGCAGACTCGTCCATCAGACTGTCAGATAGAGAAGCGTGATTCACTCCACAGAATATGTTTCCACGGAGTCCAGTAGTGGCGTGCTTTACATCACTCTATTGTGATATGGCTATGTGCTTAATTTGTGCTTAATTTTGTCCACCTGTTAGCAATGAGTGTGGCTGAAACACCTGAACTCAATAATTAGGAGGGGTGACCCAGTACTTTTGTTTAAATATTGTATGTCCGATGTCAGATACTATTCAAATATTGTTATATTCATAGATCAGTGAAAAGTATAAGCACTAACATGCTGCACTGGAAGATATTATGTGCGTATGGCAGTATCACCACCAATCAGAGAGTGCTGCTTTTTTGCTTTGTCATTGATCTTTACATGGTGAGATAAGTTTTCAGCAGTTTTTGGTAATGATGTATTTGGCTCTTAGGAGAAGAGAAAGAGACAAACAGAGATTGAGAACAAAAAGCGTCAGCTGGAGGACGACCGCAGACAGCTACAGCACCTCAAGGTAAGGCTTTTGTGGAACATACAGCAAATAAAGTGAACAAACACTACTGTTCAAAAGTTTGAAATTACAAGAAACTATTAAAATGATATATACTTCAATGATCTGTTTATAGTAATGTCTTGTCAAGTTTATCTACCTTGAGATTTGATCACTGCCTTTCAAATACGAGACATTTGGGATATTAATTATATTATTATTTCAAGGTTGTATGGTTTTTTCAATAATTATGAAATCATCTATAGCTCTATTTATAGTTCTGGACACATCTAACATATTTTATCAGCTTCTCACTAATAATTTGGAACCTATGAAGTTGTAGTTGTAGTACACTTTCCCTCTTTACACCTCAGCCTACTTGTGTTTTAGCGACGTGCCCAACAGTTGGTGAGGGAAGCGATTCGGCTTGCTGTAATGAAAATACAGAGTTACTGCAGCTTTGAAAATATAAATTTACAGACTCCTTTCTAAAACAAGCACACATGAGTCTTTACTACGTGCAAATTATGAACTTTAGTCCTGAAATCTGCAGCACCCTAAGCACCTCCATTTCTCACATCCCTGCTATTGTGATTGATGGCAGGCATAATGTGGTCATGACATATCAACTTAATGTGCTACCACCTTAGTTGTTCTTCGGGGACACAAGATGTTTCCAAATATAGGACTTATTTGGCTCTAGCAAGGCAGTTTAGAATGATAAATTATCATTGTCCAGCTAAACTATCTGATTTTCCTCAGTCAGCTTCAGGTGGGTAGATATTTCAGTACTGGCAAGGCCGCCTGTGAGCCACATTATTGTTCCAGATTGTACACTTTATATGTTTTAGTGCTGATTGTTCGGCGAGTGGAGCAGCTCATTGGCTGAATGAAGCAGTGTGTGCTTACTTACATCGTGGACGTACGCGAGGCGGCATTATTAGGTCTTTTAACTGTTCAAAAGGTCTCAAAAATGTAACATCAGTGTTAAAGTGTGCAGTTCTGTGTTGAGGAAATGAAAACATTCCTCTATATAAAAATATTTAAGCATTTACAAACTATTATTTTGCTCAAGTGCTCCATATTAACTCATTCATTTTGGACCCACTCCAGAGCGCCCTCTAGCGTTTGACTACTCTCCTGACTACAAATTCTTTGGCAACACAAATGTGGACGATGTGGAGTCGGCAGTGCGATAAAGTTGAACATAGTTCAACCTTATGCATGTGCCGATTACCAATGGGTTGAGCAGGGTGGTTTGTGCTTTATCTTCACCACAGTGAAACGGTGTAACCCTGTTTTGGTTTACAGATATTTGTTTTTACTAGAGATGGAGGAATGTCGGCCGTGCCTTTTCTACTCATACTGACTGATGCACTACACAGGGAGTAAATTTATAGACAAGTAATTTTTGTCCAGGATTTTTATTTTTAATTGGAACGCATCTGACTTGTACAATGGCATTTTAGGGCCCCTGTTAAAAAATAAAAATAATAGACTTTGGGAATAAAGTATAATAAAAAAAATAATAAAAAAATAATATTTCCATCAATATTTTTAGTTTCCTGCACAGCTGTTTTGGCATTTTTATACTAAAAAGAATCCGGCGCTGATGTGTCAGGAGACAGGGAGACTGAGTATTTCTTTACTGGTAAAAATCGATACGAAAGTATATCTTTACCAACCCCTCAATGCCCCTCATTCTAACAAGAGGAGGTTGCAGCCTTCCTTTTGCAAACCCTTTGGCCACAATACTGCGACTTTTCCTGGTATTAATGCCACTTTAATGTTGTAATTCTACAACTTTATTCTCAAAATATTACGATTTTATTCTAAAAACCTTTTTTCGAAATATTAAGTCTTTATTCCCAAAATATCAAACCAAAATATTCCAACTTTATTCTTGAAATCTACTATTTTAAATTTGTAACAGTGGCTCTAAAACGCCGTCGTAGACCTATGCTTGGCGTCCAGTGGTCCACTCGAGTTCAGAAACACCCACAGATGATGAGTGACGAGTGATTTGGGCGACAAGAGGCGAAAAGCCGCTGATAGTGTGAACGCAGAGTAACTCTGTGTTGTCAAATCGTCTCTTGTGGGTGTGTTTGAGGCCACTCTTTTTGTCCCATGTGTACATGTACACTGTCGAGCTCTTCTGACAAGAATATGTAAAAATATGTACTGTATTCGTTTGAAATATAAAACGCAGTTATACGTTTACAAGTTTTTAGGTTTCTCTTCCATATTTTGAGTGATACTATTGGGAATAGCAACAAAAATCTCAGACAGCAGAGGCTCGTGTCTACGATTGGTCCGAGGATTTTGTTTGAGCCAATCAGTTAGATTCACTTCACATGATCATAACTCATTTGCATAACGTTTAGAAAATTTCAACTTGACTTGCCGCTTGTTGCCGTTCCGCTTGCCGCTTGTCGCTAAATCACGGCTACATATGTCACATGCTAGTGTGGGCGCACAGTGAGGGGCTAACTTACTCTAAGTTGGACGTCACTTAGAAAATGTAAACAAAAAGTCGACAATGGAAATATTGGTTAATGATGTTGTCAGTAATGTGAAACAGCAGAATATCTCTAATTTGAATGTCTCTGTATGGAATTGAGTCTGAAGCGTTGGAGCCATCTCCCAATTCCCAAATGCCTGGAATCAGAGAATGTGTCTTTGGGACTGACTCCCAGTTCTATTGTAGAGCACTAGCGTAATGTTATAATAACATTATATGTATCTGTAAGAAAATTGCTAATACATAATTGAATTCCAGACTAGCCTACAGGAAAGAACGTTTTCAGACGCTTGTCTCGATGGCTTGTATAATTGTGTTATGTTGTGTCAGCAATAACAGGATCGTTCTCCAGTATATGGTGGGGTGATGTTTGAACTACTGTTGCTGTATCATTTTCTTAGTGCTGAAGCCACAGTATTATCGATGAGCTTTACTTGCTTTGCTTTTACTTGTTTATTTATGAGGGCTGTGCTGTTTGCTGGGCCAGCCGTCCTGTGTCAGTAAAATAGCCTGCTTTCTTGGCAGTGTTTCTCCACACGGCAGGCGGAACTAAGGCGAGTCATAAAAGTTTTAGGGGATGGGAGGAGGGGGTGGCGCGCTGGGTTGGACGCAGCGGGGGGTGGTTCCTGGAGGATAAGAAGGGATTGAGCTGCAGTTTTGGGGCATCTCCGTGTGAAAGTGTTCTAGAGGTGCGAGCCAGGGCCAAGGACACTCATCCGTCAGACACAGGAAGAAGAAGAATCTGTATTTTGGGGGTGGGGGTGATAGGACATCCTGTTTTGTGCGGGTGCGGGGGTTGGGGGGGGGGCAGACAATGCTTCCTCTTGCTAAATAGGTCTTGCTGTTCTTCAGTTTTGGTGTCTCCAGGTTTGGGACTCTTAAGAGGTTTTTTTTGTTGTCGTTTTGTTCTACGTTCAAGGAAAACAACACCTGCCCTTTATATTTTGTGAACATTTCAGCAATAACAGGATGATAGAAATAGTCTTAAATTACTTAGAATATCCCATTACCTTAACTTTCACTGAAAACACATTTTTTCTGGAATGGGATATGACTAAATTGGGGAGAAAATTGGGCAAAAATCCCCAAAAAAGAAAATTTTCTGTTCTGCAAAGTTACTGATTATTATTTATTTATTGGTACTGTATCAAATGTATTTTGTAAAAGAAGCTGAAGGTTTTTATTCTACTGATCAAACTTTAAAGAGCAACTCCAACAACGAGAGACTTTTGCTGCGTTAGCCAGAGATAAGATCCAAAAACTCTCCCATTAGCAGTTTCCATGGAGCTCGCATTCGCAGTCAGCAAAATGCGAAATGAGAGAGAGAGAGAGTGAGAGAGAGAGAGAGTGAGAGTGTGAGAGAGTTGAATGCTTTGTGAATAGAGGGCAGTGGGCTTTCTGAGACAGTGGGGCCACCAGGAGTCTTTACTTGTATGTAGTTCATTTATATATGGAATAGTTTAAACCTACATGAGATAAATGTAGATAAAGCAATACTGATGCCTTAAAGGCAGTGAGGTGGCTCATTTTTGTTTGTGGTTTGTGGTATTTCAGGCTAGATTTGTTACAGGATTGGACTCATTCTCTTTTCCTGTGATATCTGATCCGGCATTCTATGCTGATGTCGACCTGATACCCGATACTTGATACTGATATGCCATCTTTCTGTTCTGTTCTGGTTGGCTGTGCCTCATTCAGAAAGCAGTCCAACACTCCATATAACTTAAGTGTGAATGGGAGGAGCTGAATAGGCAGATGTACACGTGGGTTGATTTTCATGACATCACAAAAACAAAGAATTGTGTAAAAATGTGATGTTTACAGTGTTGAACTTTCAATTTAAATGATCCAAAACTGTCCATTTATATTACATATAAGGGATTATATAATGATACTGAATTCTTAATAAATTTACAGATACAACAGATGTGAAACACCACATCTCAGTCACTGTCCAGCAGGCTGCATTGCTGATATGTTCTGGCTCCAGTGCTTCCTCTGTTTTGAAATGCTAGTTAATGAGCGCAGACTGATTAAAGGAAGACCACAGTCCCAGGAGTTAATTAGCACAGGATGCTAATACAGCTAATTGGCCTGTCTTGGTATGATTGGCAGTGTGGGTTAGAGTACTGGACTGTAGGCTCTGTAACAGGCTTTGGTCCTGTTCTCAGTCACCACTCTGTTGGAAGAAAAGCAGTTTTTGCTGGTTCGTTTCACCATTTTAGAACAATGGTTAGGCACCGGATGCATGTGGGGGAGCTTGTGATGCTTTGTCTTCTATTTTAGATCTCATTGTGTTTAAAACAGCTATTCGTATAGTAACAGGATATTGTAATTGATATGCTGGCTAGGATTTCTTAAACCCGAGGTCCTCTTACGTCCCCATAATTCATTTTTACATGGCCATTTTCAACCTCCTCTTCATTCCTTACAATCCAACAGGGTGTCTTTGTAACTGTACCTTTAAGACTGATTATGTAATGAGTTCAGTTCTATAGACCGC